TATTACAAAGTGAATGGAGGAGGAGAGGTAGGAAAATGTGCATGTATGAATGAATGAAAATCAATCTCTTTGTAAACTTTCACTAAAGTCAATGTAAAATTGAAACACTTTTACAATGTACAACTTTTAAAAAATGGTACAGTGAAACCCAGTGCTGGGACTTGACCATGAACCTGTCCTTGTCAGAGATGTTTCATGGAGCTTTCCTTTCACTCAATTTCCCACCACGTTGTGGTATGCATCAGAACTTTATTGCTCTTTAGTTACTACATAATTTTCTACTGTATACATGTACCATGTTTCGCTTATCTCTTTGTCTCTTAATGGACATTTCAGTGTTTTCTGTAACTAACTGCTGTGAAAAGGGCTGTGATGAGCCCGGGTGAACTAGTGTCTGTCTGTGTTGCTGTCTTCATTTCATCTGATGCGTAGACCTAGGGTATCTCGTAGGTAGGACTATACTGACAACTTACCCAATCTCCTCTCTTAATCATATCACACTAGATTAACTCCTAGATAAGCTAAATTACTGTTAAATAAAGTTAAATTCATCTCCAACAGTGTCAATGTTATCGTTTTACCTTCCAGGTAATATATCTGTAGTGTCTAGAAGTCTAGAAGTCTAGAGAAAGCATGACTGCTCCCAAGATTGTCCTCATAGGGCCACCGTAGTCAAGAGCATGAAGAAGGTAGGGTTTTCCTAGAGGTTAGAGAAAAGGATTAAGTATATCCTTTACTGTTGATCTTCCTGGGAACAGTACCTCATTCTACAGTTTAGGAAAATATGCTATGGCTTCCTTCCATCACTCTGTGGAAAGAGCCTTCTGTGGTTACTTTAGAAATTCTTCCAGATGGGTTCCACCTTGGGGGGAGATTTCCCAGCAGCTGTTGGGCTTTGTGTAGGCTCCAACTGACACCTTTGCTTCCAAGCAATGCTGGGAGAGTTGTGAAGCAGGAAGCAAAAGTCGTCTTCTCAAAAGTTTTCTTAAGTGATTGAGTATATGCCAGAGTTCATAGTTCTATTCTAAGAATTTAATCTAGGAGGGAAATGTTATTGTTGGCTGTCATCAAGCCAACTACAGTCCACAGGAAACATATGAACAACAGATGGAAATCGTACCCTGTCCAGGGCCTTCCTCACTGTCTCCTCCACACTCAGACCTACTATTGCAGTCACAGCCAATCCATCACATAGACATTTCTAGATCTAAAACAATTTAAAAAGTAAATAAAAAAAAAATCCTCTCCCTCCTGTTTTAAAAAAGGAAGCATCTCCATCAGTAATCTGAGGGAGTTCACCTGGATTGGCTCCAGAGCCCTATCCCTCCCTCATGTTTTCTGATTCTTTAATTCCCTTCTTCCCAGATAGTTTCTATTTAAATTCCAGACATTTAAAATAATTGTTTTGAGGTCTGTGTCAGTATTCATGTCATTGTTTGGTTCACAAATTCAACAAATGGTGTTGTGTGTGTGTGTGTGTGTGTGTGTGTGTGTGTACTTACTGTGTACCAAACATGCCATTGCAACTTTCTCAGATATAACAGGGTTGCTGACTGAAGTGACGAACCATGCGTGATTGTAAAGAAACAGCTGTTCAGTAGGATAAAACCCATCCAACCAGACCCATGGCAAGCAGTTCTCATCGTGACCCCATGGGACAGAGTGGACCTGCCCCAGAGGGTTTGGAGGCTATAATCTTTACAGAGCAGACTGTTCAGGCTTTTCTTGTAGACAATTTGGATTGCCAACCCTTCAGTTAACAGCTGAGAGTGTAACCAGTGTTCCAGTAGGCCTTCTTGGGTATCAGGGTACTAGTAAGAAGCTGCACTGCCATCTGGAAGGCGTGTGGTTCAAATCCACCAGCTGCTCTTTGGGAGAAAGATAAACAATCTCCTCCCATGTGATTTACGGCCTCTGAAAACTGACTGGAGCATCAGCCATGAGTCTGTTCCAATTCAACAGCACACAACAACCATATATGTATATAAGCCTGATGATGTATCGAGCTGCTTGCAGAAGGGTGGATCACAGGAGAAAGGTGGACAGTGTCTTTCCAGAAAGATCTATGGTCTCAGAGACCATAGATGGAGGATTGTTAAGGGTTGGAACCAGCTTGGTGGCAGTGATTGTTGGCTTTGGCTGTGTTGTTGTTGTTTTTGTTATTGTTATGAACTCTTGCGTTGTCTACTACTCATAGTGACCCTGTGAACTCAGCACCACCTTCATCATGTCTGATATGCTCAAGCCTTTTGTGACCGTCACTGTGTCAGTCCCTTTTGTTGAGGTCATCTTTTTCTCTGACCCTCCACCTTTCCTGGCATGGTGCCATCTCCCCAGAACTAGTCCCACTTCACATCGGGTCTAAACTACATGACATGGGTTTCCACAATTCTTGCATCTAAGGAGGACCCTGGTTGTACTTCCTCCAGGATTTGTTTGTTCTTTTGGCGTCTCATGGAATGTCCCGTATTCTTAACCAACACCACAAGTCGCATCAGTTCTTCTTCTGTCATCCTGAACCATTGTCCAACTTCCTGACGCGTCATAAGCAATTGAAATACCGTGGCTTGGATCAGACACACTTTGCTCTTTAAATTGGCACTGTTGCTCTTTCGCACTCTGGAGAGGTCTGTGACAGCAGAGTTTCCCAGCACAATAAGTCTTTTGATGTCTCGACTGTATATGTATATATATTTTTTAAAATTTTTTTTATTATTAATTTCAATGAACATCTACAGAGATTTTGGAATTCCATTCATTCATTGTTGCACTTTTCTCCCCACCCCAGTATATGTATATATTTTTAAGGAGACCTGGAGGTACAATGGTTACGCACTCTACTTACATGATAATGGTTCCATACTTGCGAAGGAAAAGGTCTGTGGTTCAAACCTGCCAGTAGCATCAAAGGTGAACAGACTTGACAACTTGCTGTAAGGATCACAGCCTCATAAACTATAGGGCAGTTCTGTTCCTTCCTGTGGTTGCTAAGAATCAGAACTGACTTGACAGCACCCAGCAACAGCGTGTATTTGTACATCAAACTAAACCCACAGTCACTGAGTTGATTCTGACTCATGGTGACCCTCTGTGAGGTTTTTGAGGCTATAAATGTTTATGGGAGGAAACTGGCCATCCCCTCTGAGTGGTTGGTGGATTTGAACTGCAGACTTTAGGCTGTTGTCCTGGGACATCACACAGTATGTTATCAGGACTCCTATATTTGTATACAAACAACCGTAAAATCTCAGTGGTGTAAGATGCATGGGAAGCTTGTTGCTTGCTTACAATCCAGTGCTGTTGACAAGTGAAGGTGGAGGAGTGGGGTAGGTGAGATGTCACTCTGCTTCACATCACTGAGAACTCAGGGTCCTTTCCTCTAAGACATTGTCTTCAACACATGGCTCTAAAGTTCCCAGAGAAGAGGAGAAGGAAATAGAGACTCCCTGTGGGAGATTCTTATAAAGCTAAACCGGAAGTTCACTGGCCAGAACTCAGCCATGTGGCTCCAATAGAGTGATGAAGCAGGTAGGAAACGTTGCTCACAATGTGCCTCGGCTGAAGAGGACGGTGACGACTGTCAGTGAGCTCTAGCATTGCCTGCTCCATCCTGGGTTTTTTTAAATTTTTTATTTTCTTTTATCATTTCGTGTGTGTGTGTATGTGTGTGTGTGTGTGTGTGTGTGTGTGTGTGTGTGTGTGTGTACTGTCAAATCAGATCTGACTGGTACAGGAAGAGATTGTCCCTCCTTCTGCAGCAGAAAGTTTGGTGGACTTGAACCGCACACCTCTGGGATTGCAGTGCAGCTTCTTGCCACTAGGCCACCAGAACGCCCCCCATCCTGGGTTTGACTTTCTTTTATTTCAAGGGCATCCAGACCATACGCTGTCGTTAAACACTTACTACACCGTCTCTTCAGTGTCTCTCCCAACTCACACTCCAGTTCCTTTTGACCATCTTCATCTTGCCTCTCTTCCATTTATTTGAGACTTGGAGGCGGGGGGGAGGAAGTGAAATGGGATAGGGAGCTTAAGAAAGTGACTTTTCCGAAGCAAGACACGTGGAGAAGGCAATTGGCGAGGAAAGGAGAGTGAATGTTGAAAGAAGAGCAGTCAGGAAGCCAGGAGAGGTCAGTTAGGGTTGATGTGAGATGGATTGATCCAGGGGACTGATTTAAGGGGAGACAGATCCAAAGGGATAAAGTCCACTTCCTGACATAGTAGGAGGTAATATCTTGGGGAAAAAAGAACCAGTTATAAAATTCTAATTGAATATTCTCTCTCATGTTTTTAACTGCATTGGAAAAACCAGCATCCACAATTAAAACATTTGAACCATTTAAGTATAAGTCTTTGCAGCTGTTGTATTTCCTCAGCACTCATGTAAAATAACACGTACACACATTTAGTAAGTTAAGAAGATATTTTTATAAAGAACATAGTTTGCTTTCTCCCTAGACTCTTCCAGCACAGAACAGAAAGCAAACTTGAGTTCATTTGTGAACCCATAATGACACTCGCTCAGCAAACCTGCCCAGCGGTCAGGTCCACTTGTCAGCCCGTCCAGGCTGCTTCTGAAGAGTTGTGGAGTTGATGACCGCAGGATACTCCTAACGTGTAATGCGAGCACGTGCGATAGTGAGTCCTTCTAAGAGTTGTTGTGAAAGATACAAATCCTTCTTGTCTTACCAACCAAGAACTGCCACTTCTCACTTGTTAGACTCACTCTAACCAAAACATTGCGTTGAATGGACTTCTCGTTCAAGCTCATAAGTGACATTTCTTACACCCACACTTCTTGCTGTGGACAATTAAATGGAGCCAAGAGACATAAGATCTTGCCAAAAACAATCCCCGTGAAGAGCTTGAAAGCACTGATTCCTGGGGAGTCCAGAGCAAGTGGCCGGGCTTGTCCCTGCATATGAAAAGGGGTCAGATGAGCTTATTCTGGGAGGCCTGTGAGCGATGTGTGGTTAACACTGCCTGTTTTGTTTCCCCAGGGCTTTACTGGAAAGGACGGAGCGTCAGGCCCACCTGGACCACCAGGGCCAATTGTAAGTAGCCTCAGAAATAACTGGGAAGGATGATGTTTTCAGAGACTCCATCTCTTTTGGCAGACTTTATCAGATCTTCACATTGGCTGCCATATTTGCCTTAACCAAACAACTCATCCCTGATACAGAGCTCTTCCTAAAACAGTTTGCAAAAATAGTACACCCTCTGGCTTGAGTATTTGATCTCTGAGCCATTTGGCTATAGGATCACCCTTGCTGATTTGAGGTTTTTATCAGATAAAAGTTAAGACTTGCATTTGAAAGAACCACAGCCAATCAATGTTCTAAAACCTGTGTGAAAGTAATAGCTTTACCACAATCCACAAAAGCAGTGTTCTACATCTTATTTTGGTGAGCAGCAATTAGGGTCCTAAAAGCTTTCAAGCAACCATCTGAGGTGCAAGTATTGATATGAAATACACAGATGTACTGAAATGAATCATCCAAAGGGAAGGAGCCACACAAATGACACTCCTCGTCCCTGAGACCATCAGGACTCCGTGGTGCCTGGCGACTGCCACTGATAACTCTGTGAGAGATCTCAGGAGAAGATCATGTATAAGACAGCGGGGAAGGGAGATGTGGGAATGTGCAACAAAACCTCAGACGCATAGAAAAGGCCAAGCTTAGTTTGCTGATCCGAGAGAGACAGGTGTGGCCTCTGAGACTATAGTCCTCGGTCACTCCTTGAACAAAACAGCCTTGTGGTTCAATTTACTGCCAAAAAGTAGACGGCCCTATAAACTGACCAGTAATACCAGCGAGACCCTCACACCCGAGAATAACCAACCGTCTGTAAAGATATTACTATATGAAAATCAATAAAAAAGAAATTTTTTTTAAAAAAAAAGTCAACAGAGCAGCATTTCCCCCAAGAATAAGGCCCTAAAGGCAAGAAGAGATGGGACAGAAGGATTAATGGAAGTGAGATTTGTAGAAAGGAAGGAGGAAGAGTGTGACTATATTGTGGGTGGTGTAAGTGACGTTATCAAGCAAAATATGCATGAGTGCTTGGGAAACCCAATTTTCTTTGTAAATCTTTGCTCATATCACTTTTTTTAATTTAACAAAGTGAAGTCTTCCCTTCTCTTTCGGGAGTTGGAAATGGGAATGACTCTTTTTTTGTTGGTTTTTTTTGGGGGTGGGGGAATGACTCTTGAGACTTGAAGTCCATTCCAGTGGGGGGTGGGGGGCCGCGAGAAGCCTTCGCCACGTGGGGTTGTAGCTCCTGCTACAAAGTGGAGCAAGTCATCACCCATGAGAAGCTGCATGTCCTCACCTCTGCACCTTGTCCTGCCTTTCTAATAGGGCATTCCTGGAGCTCCTGGAGCCCCCGGGGTCACAGGAAGCATGGGACCTCAAGGCGCCCTGGGACCACCTGTGAGTATACAGCAGCAGTCAGGGACCTCAGGAGTCTAGTCTCCACAGTCGTTTACGTGTTTAAATTTACTCCGTCACCCAAAAGTATTTACTCGCCTTCAGGCTCTGTGGGATTCCACAAAGGAAGCCAGAGAAACTCCTGGAATAAAGATGTAGATTGTACATACATGTAGCTGAAGAAAGAGGTCCCAGCCAACAATAACCACTCGTGCTGCTTCTTATATATGTTTCCATGGTTTGTTCTTCAGCATTTGGCTAAGTCAGCTCAATGCCTTCTTTCCGGGGTTTGGTTAAATGATGATGTGTACCAAATACATTTGACTACCAAGGTGTGACTAACAGGTATAAAAGAAACCCAACAAACCCAAGTTTTGAGAAATTGTGTCATTAATTATAGAAATAAATTTTTTCATCTCTGAGTTCTCCAAGCTAGAACTTCCAAATAAAACACACATGCACACACCCCACACATACATACAAAGAGGTGGATGAATAGCAGTGTAAGCGAATGCACAATTAATGGAAGTGTTTAACTACTATTTTTGTGCTTTTTATCTCTTGTTATTGTTTTTATGTGCCATTGAATCACTGGCAACTCAACCCCCACGTACAAGAGCCCTAAGCCCTGCTCTATCCTGTGCCAACCTCACCGTCTCTGACTCACCTACTCCCATAACCCCAGTCACTGAATTGATCCATCTCATCGAGGGTCTTCCTCTCCTGCGCTGTCCCTCCACCCTCCCAAGCATGACATCCCTCTTCAAGGACTTAACATTTGAATGTGATTGATGGAAAAGTGTCAGGGACAAATTGAGAAATTCATGGTTTCTAAAGCCACATTTGACAACTTCGGTGACTTGCATGCTGTTTATAGTAAATATACAAAGTAGTCAGGATTCTGATACTACTGTGATATAATAAGCCTTCATCCATAAACCAAAGTATTTGAAATGTTTTAATGTATGGGCTACCGCAAACATGCTAAGAATTCTTGGAGCATTAAAATGTGAAGGGATAAGAGAGGTGAATGCATTTGATTGCTAATACTCTGGAGCTAATGACACTTTTGTTGTTGTTGTTGTTAGGGGCCGGATCTTGTTGTTTCTATTGTTAGGTACGGTCAAGTTCACTCTTGCTCATAGGGATCCCAAGTACAAGAGCTGAAAACCTTGTCCTGTCCTGCAGTATTCTCACTGTGTGGTGTCTCCGTCATTGTTGCAGTCACTGTGTCAATCTGTCTTGTTGAGGGTCTTCCTGTACATTAGCCAACCTTTCCAGGAATGGTATCTTTATCCAGGGACTGGCCCATTGTGACAACATGCTGACAGCATTTATGACAAAGCCCCATCATTCTAACCTCTAAGGAGCCCTTTGGTCACACCTCCTCCAAGACAGATTTGTAATGGGTGTGTCCAGGACACTTCACCAAAATTCAACACATCAGCTATTCTTCTGTCTTCCTTGTTGATAGTCCACCTTTCACATACATATTAAGCATTTGAAAAAATACCATGGTTTTCCGGCACACTTGAGTCTTTAAAGTGACATCCTTGCTCTTTAGCGCTGTAAACAAGTCCTTGAAAGCAGATTTGACAATTTGTATAAAATGGCATTTGATTTCTTGGCTGTTGCTTTCATGGGTTTTGGTTGTTGTTGTTAAGTGCTGTCGAGTTGTAGGCTATGAACAAAAAGACCTGGACACTGGTATAACTTTCATCCTTCAGTTTCATAGGGTTTCCAGAGGCAAGCTATTTTGGAAGTGGATGCCACTCCTGCTTCCAAACTTGTTTTAATTGGGGAGCTCCACCAAACACTGTCCACCATGGGTAACCATTCTTGCATTTGACATGTCAATGTCACAGTGTTCAGCTTCACAGCAACTGTGAGTTTTCTCTCTGTACAACAAGTGGACAGGCCAGTGCTATACAACCTAGAAGAATGTTTCACCAAAAACAATTAAAACCAGGCCTGAGGGGCCTTGGATTAGAGTCACCCACCTTTGGCTTGGTTAGGGATTCAAAGAAAGCAAAGTCCTTGACACCTAGTCTTTTCTATCACAATGCTGCTTATTGGTCCAGTTGTGAGGATCTTTATTTTCCTGGTGTTGACATGTAATTCCTACCAGAGGCTGTAGTCTTTGATCTTCTTCAATAAGTGCTTCTTCACTTTTCTTCAGGTAAGGGTGTGTCATCTGCATATCACAGGTTGTTCATGAAAACAGCAATTTTTTTTTTGTTTTTTCTTTTTTTTTTATTGTCTTTTATGTTAAACTTTCTACAAAAAGATGTATAAATGTTAATTAGAGAATCTATCTACAAAACGTTGTCTCTCATTAAGCATTACATGACTTGGTGTACATTTATAGACTGACAGGTATAAGCACATAAAAATAGTTTTACGTAATACGCTGCGAAATATGCTGACTCCTCCTCCGCCTCACCCCGGAAGCGCCTCCTCCTCTATCCTCCCCATCACTCTCATCATCCTCCGTTTCTGCGGCCGCATTGTTTTTAGGGCTGCCTCCTCCAAGCAGCGAGGTAATTGCTTTGTTCCGAGCATTTGTGCTGGCCGACACCTCCCCTTCTTCCTCCTCTTCATCAGGGTCCAGATGTTCCATGAGAAGTTTGAAATCAAGATACTGCTTCACGACGCTCCTCTTCACCTCCTCTGTGATCTTGGAATTAGCCATATCGCTCCTCAGGAAGTCCAGTGTTTGTTTGGGATGAAAATGAACTCCTGTTTTTCGATTTATCGCTTTATCATATACTTTTGCAGATTCAGATGGAGAGTATTTCTGAATTTTACTATCAGAAAATCCACAGAGATTCTTCAAAGAAAACAGCAATTTTGAGTTGCCTAAACCAACACAGATTTACTATTTTGCAGTGCTGTCAGCAGAAGTCTGAATTGCATTTCAGTGGGCTCACATCAGGGTGTGCACAGTGTCTGTTTGGAGCCTCTGGAATCCACCTTCATGCATTTTCTCGCTTCTAGAAGCTTCCCCCATTTGAGAGTTCATGACATGATTGCATACCCAGCTACAAACCTAAATGGTCACCAGTTCAAACCTACCAGCTTCTCTGTGAGAGGATGATGAATCAGTTAGCTTCCGTAAACATTCTCAGCCTTGACTGATGGCATTCGGGTTCCCTGCTGCCTTCAATGCCAAGGTTAGTGCAGTTTTGCACCCATAGTCATATCCCCTCTGCCCAGAGCTGTGAAAGATTCTGACTTTTATGTTCTATCTGAGATGCCAGCACATTTTACATACTCTCCAGCTCAAAATCCTTAAGGAAATCATACCTTCAAAGTCTCTTTTGCCATACAAGATACCATATTCATAGGTTCTAAGGATTAAATTCTTCTCTGCTTACCGCAGTGAAGCAGACTTTATAGAAGCCATTAGTTTTCATTCAGAAAAAGGTCACTCTTCCTCTAACTGCTCATACATTCTTGTAATGTTTTATCTTATAATTTCATTTCAATAAAACTTTCCCTTTCCAGAGTCCTTTTGCTAGGCTAAGATACATGTGACAGATATGCAGGTACAGAGATACACATAAGTTATGAATGCAAAGGAATGCGTTTAGATCTTGTTGTTGTGTACCAAGAGTCAGAACCAACCCATAACTGACCTTCTGCCAGGTGTTCAGAGGCAGTTAATTGCATGGGAGAAAATCCTTCTCCCACAGAGCAGCTGTTGGCCTCGAGCTGCAGGGATTGCAGTGCAGCTTCTTACCACTAGGCACCAGAGGTCTTTATTAAATCTGAGCTCCTGATTTAGATCTTAGTAGATCTATTTTAGTCGTCAGAACAGAGCAAGGGAACGCTGCATGGTTCAAAATTGGGAAGGGCGTACGCCAGGGATTCATCCTATCTCCATACCTTTTCAACCTATATGCAGAACAGATTATCTGGGAGGCTGGGCTCTATGAGGAGAAATGTGGGGTCAAGATTGGTGGACGA